GGAACAGAAAGAAATCTCCTCCTTTTCGGCGTTTTCCTTTCGATACTTTCCTTCTTCCATTATCCGCTTTCGACGTTTGCCTTTTCGGCATTTTGTTCTTCTACATTTTCCTCTTCGACGTTTTGCTATTTTTTTATCGACATTTTCCTTTTCGACATTTTTCCTTTCGACGTTTTCCGTCAATCCCTGTATTTCAGAGATAACTTTATTCATTTAGAGAATACAAAAAACATATTTTGATCAATATGATCTTAATAAACGAACAACTGACAAAAATGGGAAAAATAAGAATAACAAACGAAAAGTAATATGCCGCTAATTCAAAATTCGAGTAAAATTTATTTTTCATCTTATTATACATGGTTGGATAGAACACATCGAGCTGAGTAAGAAAAAGCGATTTTTAAAGTTTTTAAAATTCTTTTAAGGAAGAAAAATTGAAAAAACTCGAACAGTCCAAAAGTTCGCTAGCTTTCAAGTTCAAAAACACTGAACTGTTTTCCTGTTTGTTCTAACCTTTCGAAAGTACTTTTTCGGATTGAGCATTAAAAACTGAGTATGAGAATGATGCTTGATCGCGGCTGAAGTCAAAGATCTATCCAGTATCGATGTTTTCCACTTTACTTGTGAAAAGTTCTTACACAATTTTGCAAACCTATTTAGTTTCTTTTATCAAGAGATGAAGCCGTCGCGACGCATTTTTCCTTTATATCCTGAGTAGCTGATCCCTCTCTCTCCTTTTCCTACCAATTTGAATTACGTTAACAAAAGTTATATTTTTCTTTTATTTATAATTTGAACTGAGTTGAACAGTATGAAGTGGTAATGACACTTATTTCAAAAATTCACGCATTATCTTAAATAATAGTAATGACGATACTGCTGATCTTACTGATATAAGTGCTAGAGATATAATATACTGTTCTCAATCGATATTGAGGATGCTTGAACAGGACGAACATTTTCTTTTTTCATTATAGAATAGATGTCCTCTTTTAATTGATATGCGTTAATTAATATTTGATTGTTAATCATACCTTTTGGTATCTGCTTATTATCGTTAGCAAATATTCGAATATAACCTGGTGCTTCTGCTAAATACTCGATTTGATTCTCATTCTCAATTTGAATACTATGTGGTACATATATAATATCATATTCCCATTTTAAAGGATCATTAGCTACATACCGAGCTGTGGATTGTCCATCACTTCTACTACCTGATAAATGAACAGGGAATTGACTGAAATCTGTGTCTTTATCCATGGACGAGCCCATTTTTTATTTGTTTTTTAACAAATGACGAATAGACGCACAATCACTTAATCGACGAAAGAACAAAAATTAACAACGATTTTTGCTTACTGATGAATATATACACACAGAAAAGAAAAGTATGTCATAGCTGTTGCAGTCTGTGGTTCCTCCCCTTCTACCTTTTAGCCGGTTACGAAGAAAAATTGATTTTTTTTTATATACGGTCACCTTCTACGTCTTAGGGAAATCGTCAATATTCGATGACTGGATTCGAAAAAAAACTAAGCAGAGCATTGTTCAATCTGTATGGAATAAAGAATATGAGACTATCGTAGTTACATAACCGAAAGAACATATTTGTATATATTGTTTTCTGTACTATATTTGCCTCATTTGACTTGTATATTTAACCGATATTATTTCACGTTACGAAATTGTTTTAATCTGAATATTTTATTAAACAAAGACTAGAGAAAAAAATGATATTAAAGATATGAATATTTTGTTCATAACAAAAGAAAAGCTTAACTTTTGTTTTTCTACAAATGCAGCTAGACATTTCTCAGTGACACCCGTTATCAGAGATGTGTGCCGTCACGCCGATTCTCCGCCGCTGAAGGCGGAGAAAAATTGTTATGACTTCCACCGCCGCCGTGACGTTAAACTTTCGTCGTCGGCGAGGGCGGAAAAACTTTTTTAAGTTGACGCTGCAGTCCTTGAAATGTTTCGAATGGTCGATTTGCAGGAAAAAACAGTGAAATTTTCAAAGAAAAGCAAAAATTTCATGTTCGATCGCTTTTCGAAATTTCAAAACCATTTGTTTCTTAGTTTCCACCGAAAAATGAGTCTGGAAAGCTAATGTTGGAAATTTTAGAAGCTGTATTGGACTCATAATCTTTGAAGCACGAGCAGGATCGGACAGAGCTTGCTGGTCAATTTTAAGAACCTATCTACCCATGTCAAAATTTTTTGCGATTTCTGCAGAAAAGTGCGGTTTTTGGCACGTTTGTGGCCAGCGGAAGACGCATTATTCGTATATGCGTTTTTTACGCTGTATTTTCTCACGCAAAAACAAACAGAAAAACGATAGTTTTTTGTCTTTTATTGCAGAATCTTCTTTTGCATTATGGTGCGTGTGATTTCTTCTCGTGTACGAATTTGGTAAAAAAATTTTCTGGGTATTTGATAAGGTTCATAATTACAATCATAAAATTTTTGAGAAGAATTTTCAAATATAAAAATCATATTTGCCATTTTATCATAACAAAAAAATATACTAATTAAAGTACCTTTTACAAAAATTTAGATAAAGCTTTTTTAAACAAATTCTTACACGAGAAGTAACAGATCTTGCTCATTTTGATAAAAGAAACAAATAAACATATTTCTATTTTAGTTCATTTCAAGAAAAACTATCATAAAACCCACGAAAATTCTAAAAAGATTATATTTGTATTTATTTTTGAATGAACCGTTCACTGAAATAAGTTTCAGGTGGAAAATAACTGGATGTGATGGTTGTCAACATGCTTATTGATCGTCTTCCAAGTCAAAATATGCAAGTGAACTCAGATCAAAGGGATATTTCTCTTCATTGTCCTGTTGTTCGATCGACTTCGTTTTGCTTAAGACTTTGAAACAAGTACAAAATGAAGTTAACTTAGTTAAATGGTTTTAATTTAATAAAATAATTGATGATAATAAGGCAATCTTTTTATCTAAATAATATTATTCCATAACTATTGCCGTTTATTGAACGTGTATTTCTAAGCTTTTTTCACTTGAATCGATAATAGAATAGACAAAATATATTTTAAAATAAATAATTGAATAATTTAGAAAGTATTCTGAATACCAGAAAATCAACAATATGACTTGACAAAGAAAAACATGGAGAAAAAAAATATCGATTGTGCGGGAATTCGAACATAGTACGTATCTGGTAAGACGCAGTCAAGCTGCAATTGTGCCGTAGAATAATCCTCAGTGGCTAGAACTCTCACGAGGGAACCTCCCGAGGTGATAAATCGCTTTTTGATCGACATCTAGTGGGTTATAGGTTATCGACCATGCTGATTCCGAATATGACCATGGGACTTCCCCATAGCTCTTCGAAGATCCAGTCTTCTGGAAAACCAGTTTTTCAGAAACCCCCAGAAATAATTCAAGTCTCTCTTAATAATGCAGGATTGTAGCGCGCAAATTCCTGATTAAAATGAAACATCCCCCAGCTCTATACGATCTTTCTTTGCAAAGTTATAGAATTTATAAGAAGAGCCCCCTAGGGCTCAGCGACTAAGATCGGAATTAAACCGGTGACTAATGTTTCTATAACTAATCTAGACACTTTATTTTTTAGAGTGTATAAACGAAACTCGCTGCTCTTGATTATGCATCCGGTGAAAAAGTGCTTTCTCATTCATTTAGTTAACAGTTCTATTGGGTTTTCATTTGTGAAAAACACTATATTTATTCAGAATGATTATACACGTTTATGTGTTATTTTATTGCAAATATTAATTTATTAGCAACATATGATGTAAAAATAGTAGAGCAAGCCATTAATGCATTAAATAATGTTGATGCAACATTTTTAACTAAACATATAAAATCCCCATATAAACAAAAATCTGTAATTAAATTTTCATCTGAAATGGTCGAAAACTTTCGTAAATTACAACTGCATGAATTCGATGAAAAATGCTTAATATATTTACCAGAAAAATATGATTATTACTTAGAAAAAAAGTATCGACTTTTGTTACTAATTGAACAAAATGATCAATGCTGGTGGATTAATTGGTCACGCATTATCTTAAATAATAGTAATGACGATACTGCTGATCTTACTGATATAAGTGCTAGAGATATAATAGACTGTATTTATTGTTTTCTCAAAACTTCTGGGCTTAACGGCATTGACACTTCGCCAGTTGGCAAACGGCACATGACATTTCGTCATGGCGAATCGTCTTTTGGCGAAACGGTTTTTTACTCATCCCCAAGACATTCGCCAGTTGAAGAGAGTCCACATGACTTTCACCAGTACAACCCCAGGTCATTCGCCAATTGGCGAAAGTTCACATGACTTTAGTCCAATTGCGAAAGTCATATTGGCGAAGTTTCGATTCCCCATTTTATGTTGGTTTTGACAGACACTGCGAACCAGCAGTTGTAAACGCTTTTATAATTAAGATGGCATGTTTTTGAGTTTGATGCATGTGCTGACTCATAATCAAATGTTACATTGTAAAAGTCATGAACAATAAAGTATCATTTTATGTTTTTCTTGACCAGACAATTACTTCTCTTTTATTATTCATATTCGAAAAGAAAATAAAGGATCATAAAAAGTATAAAATGTAATCATAGAAGAAGTAAATGTCATACATGTCAATAATGTCTATGGTATTATATCGATACAAAAAGCTTTAGATCACACACCTGTTCAATGTTAATATCCGACTAGACGCCGGATCGGAGATTCCTCTTGCTATGGTGCATTAGCTGTCCAAATGCGCATGTGCTCTAGAACACCAGACATGAACAGCAAACTCTTATTTTATGTTTGTTTTGACCTACAATGCAAAACACTAGGTGTAAACGCTTTTATAATCAAAATGGCATGTTTTTGAATTTCATGAATGTGCTGACTCATGATCAAATGTTACATTGTAAAAGTCATTGAAGAATAAAGTATTATTGTATGTTTTTCTTGACCAGACAATTAGTTTTCTTTTATTATTCATATTCGAAAAGAAAATAAAGAGTCATAAAAACTATAAAATGTAATCATGGAAGAAGTAAATGTCATACATGTCAATAATGTCTATGGCATTATATCGATATTAAAAGCAATAATTTTTTTTGCATTTCATTAGTCAAGCAGAATAAGAAGAACATGAATATGATATTATTTCTCTTTTACTTTCTATCATTATGTACTAATACAATCCAAGGTCAGCGTTCATCATCCAGTTGTTCGGTTCCATTATGTAACAGTCTAGGTGATGCCAACAATTCGACATGTTCTTCATCAAAAATATGTTATCAATATCAATTACCAAATGGTACAGCAGTATGTGGACCCAATATTACATGTTCTTTATTTGATTTATGTACAACACAAAATAAATGTACAACAACAAATAATACATTATGCATTGTTAATAGCTGTTGTAATCAACCAGTGTGTATGCCATTATCATTAATCAGTTTATGTACACAACCAAAAAGTAAGTTGACTAACAGGAAGCAATCGTTCCAGGGACTTTTAACAATATCATTTTGCTTATAGTTCAATAAAGGTTAGGCATTTCCTCGAATATTTTTACCCTTTAGGAACAAGAATAAGAAACAACAAACGAAACATAACTAACGAGTTTATTTCTTATTTTTCTAGCTCAACAATCATCATCAGGTAATTTGAATATATGTTCAGGTGCAACATGGAATACATCCATACCTATTACTGTAGCAGGTGGAAATGGTGCTGGTGGAAGTTTACAACAGTTATATTATCCTAAATTCATTGTGTTTGATTCAAGTTATACCATAATCTATATTAGTGATGCTTATAATCATCGAATATTGAAATGGATAATAGGAGCATTACAAGGTAGAATAATTGGTCCAAATGGTGGTCAGAGTTCATCATCAAATCAATTAGATTATCCATCATGTTTATATTTAACATCCGATGGTGATTTATATATATGTGATAATAATAATTATAGAATACAAAAAATGTCAATATATTTAATTTTAACAAATGCAACAACAGTTGCTGGTGCTAATGGTCAAGGTTCACAATTAAATCAATTAGGTGATTGCGTAGATATATATGTTGATACAAGTAAAACAATTTGGTTAGTAGAGTTTGACAATCATCGTATAACAAAATGGCTTCAAGGTTCAACATTTGGTATTATGTATCTTGGTCAATCAAGTCCATCGCCTGGCTCGGGTGCTGGTGATTATATCTTGGTCTAGGCAGTAGATGAAGAGTCCACATTTAGACCAAAAGTAGTCGAGGTTGAGGACTATCCATAGTCAAGAGCATGTGCAAAGATAACTGTATGTTGACAGATGATAACATATGTGCGAACATATATGCACAACAACGGGAGAATTTTACTAGCGCGAAGACTTCGAAAGCTTCGAATACATGCATTATTGAAAAGAGAATAAAGCCTAGAACCAGACATCCGCCACATCAGTACCGATGGTTTCCTGAGAGTATACGTTACAGAAAAATACATACGGCCAGAATCTGCACTTGAGCCTTTCACACAAACTAATGTTGATGATATTTGCAGACTTGCTGGACCACTGCCGAAATAATGCGAAACTATTCAACAAAGAGAAAGATCAGTTAATTGTGCGTTCGTTTTGAGTTATTCACTTATATTTTATAAAATCTGTTTACAAAACCGTAATGTTATCCTTCTTTTCATCCAAAAACGTTTTTATGCTTGTAGCACAATAAACTGTATGGTGGAAGCAAACACAAACACAAAAACCGCTCCGTATGGCGATTACAAACTCATTAGAGAAAAAACCATTATAAAATTGTAGAATATAACACATAGTAGTTGGCACGATAGTCGAAAAACGAACTCTATAATTACCAGTCGATATTTAGACACTCCAATTTGTTGTCTAGAAATAGTGAAAATCATTTTTAGTGATTCAAAAAAAGTAGATTCATTTTCCTACTTGTTGTTTCTGTTTTATTTTGTTTGACCAATAAAATCTCTTCACATTTCTTGTCAATATCTGCTCGTTTTTTCATTTCATCTTTGGTTAAGCGAGCGTGCAAATATCATCAACATTAGTTTCTGTGAAAAGATTCTGGCCGTCTGTATTTTTCTGTAACGTATACTCTCAGGAAACCATCGGTACTGATGTGGCGGATGTCTGGTTCTAGGC